CATATGACACTTTTGCACAAAAACCACACCATTTAAAAATTGATGAGACACTATAATGACAGCAATTAAACGCATATGCCCCGAATGCGAAATGGTTTGGTTGACCATAAATGGAATAATTAACGTATTTTAAATGATACCCATAAAAGTGTTGACTTCCACGTGTGTCGTCGTTAAACTACATTAAATCAATGAAAAGTCGCTAAGAAAATGTTGTATGCATATGCAGCGTTGAGCGTTGAGCGTTGACCAGAGCACCCATTGAGGTTTACCTATTTGACATAAGACTGAGTTGAATATATGATGAATACATTTTATCTGTTAACTGATTTCAAACCCTTTTGACTTTAAATAAGAAACTACCCATTGTACTCAATTACAACGACTGACTTACCAAATGGAAGAGTTTCCTAAACCTATTATTACTTAATTTTTCGCAGTGGAGGAAGTGAAGAATCAACGAAACATGATCTAAAATGAAAACCAATCCAAAACCGGTCAATATTTTATAAATGGTTTTTGCTTTTCGTACGCAATTTGCATTTTTGGCGACAAATGGAAAAATACAATATACATTCATATATACCACTTATGCAAATCTAGATATATATGTAAATTTAAGAGATTGACAACAAGCGCAGATATTTTTCGAGCCGACGATTTATGTGGGGCGGGCGTTCCTCAAGGTTAACGGCAACAAGCAAAGCTAAATGCAAGCGAATACAATTTACAAAACGAATGCATGCAATTAAAATGCTGTTTATGGTAGCCATAATAATAACAATAATAACAGAAACAACAATAACCGCACACCCAGTCAACCTCAGAAGCAGACAGTCAAAGAAACAACAACAATGTAAAAGCCGTAGGCTAAAGCCCCACAAGTACGAATGCTGTCAGTAACAATTCGTCATAACGTGAAGCATTCGCAAGATTAATCAATTATATATATATGGTATGCATGTATATGCTGTGTATATATCTACATTGATATATAGCTCTCTCTGCTCAACTTTGTGTCAGATTTGTTCGTTAAGCTCATTGAAACGCAAAAACTGACAACGAAAAAAGGCAAAGTTGCCTTTCAGGGTTCATATACAAAGAGCTGACAGAATTGTCAAATAGCGCACAGGGATAAAAACAAAATTTCAACTGTGAAAAAATAGTTTGGAAAACTGCTATAATCTACTCAATTTCATAAGAACGCTAGAAGTAAGCCTTCAATAGATGCGAGAACGCATTCTGGACATGGGATTCTCTTCGGATTGTCCTGTTATTTAAATTGGGTCAACTTAAAAAGAAATATTAATGTCAAATTTTTGCAAACATTCATAAACATTTGAAAACACCAATTTTACCCTATTTTTATAATAATCCATAGTTAAATTAGTATAGTTTTTTACACTTTAAATTCAACAAATTCTCGGACTTCAGCCCTTTGTTGCATAAACCCTATGCGTGGTATGTGGAGACCTCGCCCAAAAATGTTGCTAGCGTATATATAAGCCGTTATCCTCTAACCATTTTTCAATTTATTGTTATATCAATTGATTACACTGCGTACAATTTAAATGGCAATTGTCGAACAGACCGCAAAAACTGCGATAAAAATATAAGCAATTTTTAATTGGAGAGTGAGCAAATAAAAAAAGATGCAAATAAAACATAAATAAATAAATTTAAATTGAATATGCGCTGATGGGATTTAATAGCTAATTTAAATGAAAATATATGTATATTTTTTTGTTCACGGCACTTATCAACAATTAATCAAATATTTATCTTTTTTCGTTGCAGGTAAGCGTAAAAACTTTGGCCAAAAGTCAAATATGCATTGGGTGCAACTGAAAGTCGTAAATAGTAAATAGTAGAGCTACTTAAATTATACCATACAATTTTGTATAACATTCAATATTTATGCATTTTTAACCTTATCATATTTAAAATACCGAAATTCTATTTAAATAACAAAAACTTCCTCATTCACCCGCAGCATTTGTAATTATATTCTGTATAATGTAGTTTTTTTGTATACCGACACATTTAACTCGACTTTCAATCAAAACATTAACCATGTGTATACCCTAACAGTGCAACCAAACAACAACCCCCCCAACCCAATGTTTGCTTTTATCTAATGCCACAAATCGGGGCAGCTGTCATGAGGGAGAGGCGCATTTCTATTATAGTGTATTGTATTTGCATATATACAATTTAAGGCAGGAAATTAAAAATGCTTTTTGTTTGACAAGTTGCCAAACATTTTATATCCGTATTTGGGCAGCACAAGATTCGCCACATTTTGCGGCAAATTGAAATGGCAATGCCAAAACAGTTGTTGAAATCTATTCATTTCATCTTTTATCCAGTGTGCAATTGGTAAGAATATTTTAATTTAGAAAAATATTAGACTAATTATATTTTTGCTTATAATTAGCTCAGCATAGAAATCCGCAATAAGCCATTTCTCAGATGAATACCATATGAATATATTTTTCACTTGCCTGATTTTCATAATGTGCAAATTCATGAGTGCAATTTATGCTCCTAATTACGAGTTTGCCGCTGGCATTTCCGCTTCATGCCCATATCTCCCTGCTCCCTACTCATTAGCCTTTTCTGTAATGGGGCTCGAGTGCTGCTTGTTGACATTTTGGTGTCACGGATTTGTTTGCCTGTCGAGCTAACGGGGTTTTTAGCCTACGACGACGCAAGTGTAATTAGGGTAGAAGATGCATGACTGTCAGCTGAAAAGGTATCAAAATGTGTGTGTGTGTGTTGCTGCTTTAAAGAGCTGACAGCTGCAAGTGCTGGGGAAAAGTAGCTAAGCAATTGCTGAATATGTGTGTCAGTTGGCAAGGATGAGAGATGCGATGAGAGAGTTTAATACATTTAATAACCTGTATTTCAAATTAACATGAAAAATTAAACTTGTCAAATTGGTTATGCGATTGGATTAACATTTGTAAGCGAGAGGTTACACTTAGGCTTTTACCGTAATAATTTTCAATCATATATTAATTAATCAAGAAGTTGAAAGTTTTGAGAGGAGTCACAAGAGTAACTTAATAAAGCTGGGGTTTCATTACTGAACATGGTCCGACACTCTCAATCGTACGCTATAAATTTTACTTTGACATTGGATATCAGACACATACATGCTCATTAACAAACACAATTGAAACTAAGACATTTGGTATACATTTCATTTCCAGTTTTCAGCCACTGCTTTTGTAAACGATAACAACAGTTAACAAAACTGGATTTTATATATCATAAGTATTTATTTAGCTAACAGTTTCGTGTATTTTTATCAGCTATACTATATAATTATCAAAAAATTGCAATTAATTATGTAAAAATATGCCTATGCGCTAATGCAAACAATATCACGCATACGCTCCATACGCCAATGGGTTTTCATTATTTTGACTAATTATCACAGCAAATCATATTATCTCTATAAATAATTTAATAAATGGACACAAACTAATACACAATTTACATGTCTATTTATAACTTTTACTATTGTTGTTGTTGTTGTTGTTTTTTCTAGCTGTTGAATTTATTATGATTGTTGGTGTTGTTGTTGTCTATAAATGTTAATTGTAAGCTCAGCTCATTTTAATAATATATGGCGTTATTTTTTTAAGGGCAGTTTGTAGCTATATAGTAGTCGTATATACCTCCGTAGTCTAGTTTTATCTGTTAGATTTACCCTCTTTACCACGTCTAGTGTGTGCCAACCCCCCTTTCCCCACCAAGTAAGCGAGAATAAATTACAACAAAAAAATAAATAAATGTATTTATGCATGTAAATTATGCAAAATTTGTAGCATAATTTATGCGAGTTAAAAATAGAAACACAAAAATCATTTAAATTCGCGTGGCTTACATTTATTAATTAATCAAACAAATAATTGATATATATACATATAATTTTGTGCCTGATAAGCGCAAATAATTGTGTGTGTGTGTGTGTGTGCTTCATATATAATTTAACTAAAAATAAATGGTTTGGCTTGTAATTAATTAATTAAATTTAATTGCTTTTCTGCTAGCCACAAACATGTTTGCATTTTACAGAAGCATTTTTAACAATTCGAATTGTTGTCATTTTTTCACACCATTTATGTATATTTATATAGCTAACATGTACATTTCTGTCGTTGTCGTTATGTGTACACAGTACAGGTTGTCCTTTTTATAGTCTGGTAGAACATATATCATTTTTAAATGGGCAATCGAGTGCGCTCTAAAGAGTTTTGGTATTGGAGTTGTTTGATACTGGTTTAAGTGGAGTTACGAATTCTTTTTGTTTTTATTTTGAAACTATTCAAGAATGCTTGAAATATAATACAAGCTTAAGCTTAAATATATTTATTATTTTATAAACAGATTGTGTAATTTAAATCGAATTAAATGCTCCACTTGAGAAACGTTTTATTCCGTGTTTGTCTTAACTATTGTACCATACGAATAACAAAATCCCACAAAATCCTAACAAATTAAATTATTTGTGCATTCTGTAAATACATATACTCTCCTATTTTCTAAAATGCAATAAATGCTAAGCAATAACACATCAATCTCTTACAATTAATTGCAAAGCATCTAAAACAAGTGGTCGGCCATACATTTGATATTGTTCTCGTATACACACATACATATACTATTTACAATACAAAACATACACATACACTCTTACATACCTTTGCATTTTACTATGCATATCAAATGTGCATCCAAATGTAGTATTTCGCATATATAGAGAGAAATAACATGTGCTCCTCCTCACCCATAACAAAAAAGTAAATTGCAAAAATGTTTGCCAAATCAATATGAAAACCAAATATCAAATATCCTACCAAAAAAAAAAAAAAAAATGTAATACCACAAAAACCGAAAAAAAAAAATATTAAAAAATACACAGAGAGCAATTGAAATTTTTTTATACCAGTGGCGACATTTTCTTTTCTGGTTTTTTTTGTATATTGCAGGTTTCAGACACCAATAAAAGCGTTTGCCTGCCTGACAGCCACAAGGTAAGCTCTAAAGCTGGTCACCGAAAACAATTATCGAATACCTCTTACTTATATACATAACCTACATTTATCTACATCAAACCCAATCTGAATAGTTTTCTTCATATTTTTTTTTAGCTAGTTGAATTTCAATGTCGTTTTGTATGTAGCGTTGTCTTGAAATCTCTTTTTAATTGGCGAGTGTTTTTAACATAATGGTCAAATTGCAATATATGCCTAATATCAAAAAAATTTATTCAATTTTGTAACTAGTCGCAGTAGATTGTTTTTATTGGAGTTTTGTTCGATATAAATTTGAACTGATGTGAAATGAAATGTGCAATAAATAACAAGTTTGTTTTAAAAGCTTAGATTTTTATTTACATTTTTAATTGACTGCTTGAAATGGATGGGCAAAAATTAGAGTAGAGGCTGCTTAATAATTTCGATTCAGTTTTAAATTTTCTTTAAACTATTGCCTACTTTTGGGTTCTTTTTTTCTACAATTTTTTGTTCAAAAAGAGATTATAATGTTATTTATATATTTTCTATGTTCATTTGCAACAATATTTATTTTCATTATCGTACTGAAATATTTTAATAACTTGATGTCGATACTACATATACAAATGTCTAACTTTTGGATTCCAAACTCGTCAAAATGCTATATTAAGAAGGAGATCCGAAACAAGACTATCATAAATAAACCTATTCAAAATGTATGAAAATAATCATGACTTGAGTCTTTCACTAACAACTGCTGTTGCAAAATGCAGGAGTACCTCACAACGTCCTGTTCATAACATTCTTTCACTGATTACTCGCAACATTTTATTCAGAATAATTGCTTGAGTGTTTACAGTATCACTGGCAATTAGAGCTGTGTGCATTTGTGACCAATTAGGCTAAGAATCAGATGAAAGCATTTTCAAATGTGCTTGGCTATATAACTAACTCTTAGTCATATTCTTCTACTTTCTTGACCACAATGTGACATCCCGCTGAGCTGAAGTGCAATCATTGAGAGCTGTTATAATTTTATTGCCCAACACGTAATTTGTTAAACCAACCGAGAACAGCAAGCACAACATGCAACAGATCAAAGTGTTTGCTAGGGAAAGGGCATAAAGCGCGGGTGGTCGACGTCTATGTTTAATCTGAAAAGGCGTTTTAATGTTTCATAAATGTGTTGTACGTGTTTATGGACGGCGCGTGTGCGTTTGTTGTGTATTGTGTCTTGTGTATGTTTGCGTCTTAACCATACAGTTGACTATTTGTGGTTATTTGTTATTATTGCTGTTGTAAAATCACGTTTCAGCCGTTCATTTGTCAAAGGTGTTTTTCAAAGCCATCGAAATACAATTAATGCCATTACATTATGTTTGATAAGTATTTAAATGTGAATTCCTGATGATAGCTACATAGATATCATTGCATCAATTTGTATGCTGCGTACATGCTGAACCATTATAAGTTAAATAGTGCATTTCTAAGGACTAAGCATTCTTGTAACCTAGTTCTGTGATCTGTGTCTGTCAATTCGACAGCATGGCTAAGTGAGACAAGACATAAGCAAAGCAATTAACTCGGTGCAAAGTCAAAAATCGATTTTCTTTTCCATGCGTTTAATTGGTTGTTTCCGATTTTAAGGGTAAGCCAAGCCTTTGCTAAAAAAAAAGTTTCAAAGAACCGACATTGACAAATTGTGTTAGATACACAGAGCTATGATACTTAAGAGTTGAGCTGAGGTATTGAACATTTCCTGGAAAATCCATTTATATTCGCGTATATGAAAGTAGCAACCTGAAACCATTTTAGTTCTGGGAAAAGGAAATTGTCATAAGAAAGCAACTTATTTCTAAAACAAATCCAAGAATTCTAAGAAGAAGATTGAAATTAAAACGTCAGCTTGTGCTCAAGGGAGCCAAAGCGCATTAAAATGGAAATAATAAAGCAATTATAAGTCTTCATATAAGAAATGCCACTAAAAAAAACAATTTGTAACCAATCAACTAACTACCCAGACTGATAAATACCCATACAGCCGCATATATAATTGAATAATCGCAAGAGCAATCGGCGATAATGTCAACGCTTTAGCACACATCATAAAAGAGGAGGGCGAAATAACTACAATAATTACAAAAGGGCGCCAGACATGCACACAAGCACTACGAGATATGCAGTGAGCAATGTCTACACACAAACTACAACAAGCACACACACACACACTCACACACTTATGTACATTGTGGCATGCACAATATTTTATCCGCCAAAGTGTAATTATAAACAAATTTAGTTGTAGGTTATATAAAATGCAGCAAGAAACAATAAACGAATCGAGTAAACACTTTTTTCGTTGTTGTTGTTGTTAAGTGTGTTATCGGCATTGCTGTTGCTGTTGTTGCTGTTGTTATTGTTGTGGGTGTGCGTTTAAAAATGCATGCAAATTGTGATGCAATGTATTATATATATATATATATATGTATATTCAAGTAGGTATATTTGCTGCGCAGGATGCGTGCAGCTGGCCCATTTGCCACTTGTCCAACGAAAGCTAACAAAACAGCTAAGAAATGCCAGCGATCCAATTTGTTGTTGTTTTTTTAAGGTGCTAAAATGTCATGCTAAGCAAAATGTTTTAAAAACACGCAAGCAACAGCACTAACAGAAAAGCAATTCATTGTTAACTGACAGTAACAATTGCGTAATTTAATTGCTTTGCAATTTATATGAACTTTATATCGTTGTTGTTGCTGCCGCCGTTGTTCATTGCTCTTGTTGTGGTCTGCAGCAGCTGCACCAAAAAGTAGGCAATACGAAATTTCTCCGATTTTACAGCAGCACCAAAAGCTGGCTGGTTATTCAGTGTCTCATATTCTCAATTCGATTTTTACCAGGTGAAATTGAAATGAAAGAGATTTACATATTTGCATCACAGCCATTAAAAACGTTTTCGGACTTTAAAGTTTAGTTTCAAATTAACATATGAAACTTTTAGTGCTTGTTTTTCAAAAAAAAAAAATGTAATGAAAGCGATTTCAGTATTATGTGTGGGTAATTGCTCCAATTATTGCCACCTTATTTCACCTGAAATGTAACAATCCACTTCACTGCGGAATGGTTGCGAGGTAGAGCTTTCAATTTTCGCCAATGCGCTGCAGCTGCAACAATAGTTGACACGTATTACAAAAGCCAACGCATGTTTGGGCAACTGTTCCAATTATTGTCACTCCTTTTGGTTCAGCAATTGTGAGGCCTATTTTTTCCGGCATTTAAGGCCTCTGTTTGTGTTGTTTTTTGTGTTCTGGCACATTGGATTTTTCGACAACTGAACTGCTCTGAACTGCTCTGAACTGACCAACAAAAAACCTATAGAGCGCACTCACGTCGACCCCAAAGGATGTGTGTATTGTTACTGAAAAGGTTGGCGCATTTCTTTTTTTTTTTTAACAACTTCCGGCGCTGACTGAATTTCAGTTTGCCAGCAGCTTTAATTACGCGCCAGGCCAACGAGCGAGTCGCAGAGTTGGGTTTAACTTTATTTTGTTGTTGTTGTTGTAGTTCCTCTTTTGGTCTTTGTTTACAAAACCGACGATTCTGCATGCTGTTCAGTTGTCTGTATTTACGCACTTGACTGCATTTTGGGTTAAAACGATTTTGGTTTTGCTTTTTTTTCAATTGCTATACTTTTGTCTTGCAAAGGGGTTTTTGGGGTTTGTCATAATGTTTGCGATGCCTAACACAAACCCAATTTATTTACACAATTATGTAGGTGGGTCTACCGAAATTCAAAGATGGTGAGATTAAGAAATTTATTCTTGCCTCAATTTAAATTTAATGCTTACAATTACTAAATAATATGTACAAGATGTACAATAATAGGCACATCTGAAATTTTGCTCTCAAGGCAAATGACAATTATAGCCATCAACTGGAAAATTACAAATACACCACGCTCTGATTAATTTTGCAGCTTATCTGTTGCTGTCGACCGCAAAGGATGAAACTTGGTCTCTTAGTGGCTTCAGTTAATTTAAGAGATATTTTCCCTCCTTATGTATTGGGTTACTTTAACTTTGAAAATCTTAATTTTGCTAAGGACCAAAAAGCTCAACTCAGCCAAAGTCTATTAATCAATATAAGCTACAGTCCATTAAGTAGTCCCTTTTTCGCCCATTTACAATCAGCATCAGCCACTTAATTTCCTAAACAACACACAATGCCAATGCCGATGGCAACATGACTGCGTATACTTAATTTCCTTGCACGACACAAAACAGAATTTACAAGTCAGTCCCCCAAAACTCAAATCCAACGTCCATTTTTGGCAATTACAAACACATTGAATTTTCAATTTTGACGCTTAACATGAATTTCAAAATTTCGCAACAACAACAACACGCGCTATTGTGATTTGAAATGGAGAAATTTCCGCAGAACCCAGATTTGACATTTGTGACGCATACGCCGTGTCTGCCACGACCACTAGAGATGCGCACTTTGAGTGTTTAGTAACACACGAGTATACGATGCAAGTAAAAGTTTTCTTAATGTGGAAAGTTTCAATTTAATATTTCGTATTTATGCTGAGCATTGTTTTTATATGAAATATAAATTATAAAGCGAATTGTTGCAACGTGCTAGCTGAATTTAAGTATATTTTTAAACTATCCTGTGAAGTTCTGCTGTATCGTGCAGCTCCTGTTTTGAAGGTGTTTTGGCAACACGCACTCATCACGTCATAAAAACAAATACGACACGCGTGCAGGTCTCGTGGTCGAAACGATTGACTGACTCCGACTAAAATGCCATGGGGCTGTTCTTGATAACGACAATGATTATGATGATGATGATGATGATGATGATGGGGATGATTTATACATTTGTAGCGCCCCTGGCGAAAAGTGTTTTATGCAAATTTATATAACGCGCTTTCAATATACAGCTACAGTTGTTGTTATTGTTGCTGCGTTGTATAAGCTGTAAAAATATGCAAATTTGTGCCTTGGAAATTA